ACCTCAACGAGTAATTCGCTAATATTGTTTAATGTTGCAAATTTTTAGTAATGAAGGCGTTGTTCAAAACAGAGATAATTCAATGATCACAGAATGTAAATGAGCTTTAATTTATTAAATGACAACATGTGACGCAGTGCGCTCATTGGGGGAGGGAGCAGATGTTTCGTTTGTAAACCACTAAAATATTAAAATAGAAACGGTGTTCTTTTATTATCTATGTTCATGGGAAAACTTTAAAATGAGGAATTCGTATCAGGAGTATGTAACTTTCTCGTTTACATGAAATCATTTGTAGCCTTACATGCAATACTGTGACGGTGGTCACTATTTTTTTTTCGACCTGTAGGTAAATTACGCAAATATATGTAACCTTTCACAATCCGTTTCAATTTGCAGCTGAGCAAAATTATTTTATGAAATTCCGTCCATTTGATAGATATGTTAAACTTTGTTGACCAAGTGCCTATTTAATTGCAGGTATATTCATTTCAAAGTAAAGCGGAATAGTTAAAAGTGTTTTCTCTAGAATCCCAAATCAATATCACGCCTTTATTAAAATTTGCATTAACTCCTTCAATGATTTATTAGCTGTCGAATATAAATTTAAAATGTATCGTTTGAATTGTAAGATTTATTAGTTAAAAATAGTATAAAGTTTTTTATATTTGTTAACAAGTAAATATTTTATTTTTTACCAAAATAGCTTGTGAACGTATGTAAGTTTCTAATAAGTATTGTTTATATTCCATGGTTGATATTTTTTACTTATTTGCGTTTGTCAATAACGTGTTGTTGTTCCCCTCATTAGTAGGGTTTTACCGTTTAAGTCACCTGTGGTTATGGAATGTCACACAAAAATGCTATGACACTAACATTACTAAAAATTAGAATATAGTGTTTCAAGATTCCGCGATAAACTACTCGCAAGCTTGGGACTGTGTAAGATGTATGTATACAATCTACTTAGTTTGGAATTGAAACAACAATGTTTGAATGGGTTTAAATCAGAAAATCCAATCCAAACCACATAATTCCTTCACTCAGTCGACAAAATGCTTTTCCATTTCCCGCCGCAAACATCATGTAAACCGTCACAGTCATATTGTTGTCGAATTCGTCCAATTTCCGGTCATAATTTCTTCTTCTTCATCTCCAGACGTCACACGTAAGCGTTTTGGTTTAAATCAATTTCGTATGACAAACATTGACACATGTTTAGCACAAATCGGAAATTTACAAATCCCGTTGCATTGACGCTGATCATAGATCAATTTTTTTTATATATTGTAAATTATGTATTTTGCAATAACATTATATTTTACCGAATCGTTATACAGTATTTTTTTGTTATGTAATAACAAGTAAACAGCTTAAAAACACATTTCTTAAACTGGTAGCAATATATATTTGTACAATAATGGTTACAACCAGATTACTTTTTTAAAAAGTAATCACTTTTTTATAAATTTATAAAATAGCTTTTAAGCTCTACTATTTTTATATGTGCTATTGCAAGGTGATTGGGTGGATTTTCAATTGGTTTTTAAGCTTGTTTTTGTTAAATTGTTATATTCGCAAAGTCGTAAAATATTATATTTAAATATTTGTTTTACAACCAAGACCTTGTTTCGTCCCAATGATTGTCCTGTTATTTATAGTAAATGAACAATGTCAGATGACAATTAGACCAAAAGCTGACAGATTTTCATCGGAATCAATCTGAATACTTTGAATTGTAGAACAAGCACTTTGCTCTTTTACCTAAAATAGCTAGTTTAAGACTCATGCCAGATAAAAATGTTACATAGGGTGAAGATTTTTTTTTTTTTGTAAAAGACAATAATGTACACAAATAGTAACTGGAATCCTTCCGACATTGTATTACATTTACTTTGTAAAACAAACCCCTAGCTTGTAATTGTATACATAGATTAACGGACATTTTGACTTAACTGCACCCAGAGAATCACTGGGCAATACACGTAGTAAACTACATAAAATTATGACTCATTAGCACACTATATTTTTGTCTAATTTATTAACCTCTCAGTGAATGAAAACATGCTGTAACGCAGTGATAAATCACAGGACAACCTCTTTCAGAAACATAAGCCAAAATCAAGTGTTGACAAATTAGTGCAAACAGCCGTGGAATGTAAATATGGGATGAAACAATTCCATCCTGGACACACATGCTAATGTGATAGCCACTAGAGCTCCGCCACATGTTCTGCTTGTACACAATTTGTTTAAGCACTACGTTTTTGTGTTTTTGCAATTAATTTGACTTATGCAATTATTTTGAATTGATGACTTATGACGTATTTCCCTCATTTTATAATAGCAACCTGCATCAACGTAACAGTTATTATTGATTATTTAATTAGTTCTCAAACGTCGATTAGTTAAACATGGGGAATTTATATTCTGAAGAAATTATTCCATGAAACATTGAAATACGCTAAGCAGACATATGGATAAAGAGGCTATAACCAACAAAGTAATGAATACAATAAACATATGTGTACTTAATAAAGTATATAATAATAAGGTAATTCAGTTTCCATATCGTTGTTATTGGCAGTAAAAAAGCAAGCACAGCTATGGAGATCTTGTTATTAGTTAATTACTAGAAACAGGACATATGCTGGCTGTACGTGCCCAAGTCTTAAACAATTTTGAATCTTAAACAATTTTATGACAAGGTTAGGGTTTATTTAAAACTAGTTAAACTTAAAAGTAATTATAGTGTTTTGTTTGTTCTTGAATAGAATTGAATTTCTTTTATAAAAATCCACAGTAAGTTTTAAATAAAAACTTGGTTTTATCAGGGTAAATATGATGATAGTTAAATTTTATATGACAGTAAATTAAATAAAAGGTATAGAACATAAATGTTTAAAAATAAAAATTATCGGTTTAAACGTTTAAAATGCCTTTGAAAAGTCCGTCTGCTGTATTTTATTTTATATGTTATTTGGGCAATGACAATAATTTTAGATGTATCAGTTACTGGACGATAATTCTTTAGGGCTTAGGTCTCATGTCTATTTTTCATATGTATATAAAATGTTAACGAAGCCTATAAATCATTGTGATTTCTCGATAAATATTCTTAGCCATACTGACTAAAATATTACATAATTAATTACTTTTTTAATTTGTCTAAGATTTACCAAAACTAGCCTCACCACAGGATAAGGGGCATAAACAATGTCTACTGGAAGATACTTACTTAGGTCTTGGTTTTACATCAAATTCAGACTAATAACAAAATTATCATAGATATTCATCAAACTAATTATTATTCGTTGTAATTTCTAAATAGATTTTCTTAACCATCCTAACTAAAGAAATTTTCTCTTGCTACATCACAGAACAAGAGACCATTAATAGTGGCAAGTCATTCAAAGAAATATACATTCTTAACTAGAGAGTCAGTCGGACACTCAAGATTTGTCGTACCAAATTATTGTTATGAAAAAAAAAAACAGATATTGAAAGAGACCGTTACTCAACACATTTGAGTCAAAACAGAGTTCTTTATAAACCGGACACACTTAAAACCAAAAACCACATTTTAGTCAGTTCAGCCACAAGCTATTGACTTTCGATACTGGAAATATAATTTTTTTACCTATTTTTAACGGTAGTTGTGTTTTTTATGTGCAGTGAATATTTCTTCTAATCAATAGGAAATTTGATGTTGCAGCCTTTTAATTTATGGTATCTCTTCCTCTGTAAATGCTAGATATAAGGCGTTTCTTCTTCTTTAAAGTGGAAATTACTGAAACTTTTTGTATAACAATATATCCCAATTATCTTTTACGTGCACATTTTCTATTTTCCTTTGTTTATTAAGTCCTGAATAGCCTTTTCAGTGTATAGTTTAGCATCGGAACATTTTTATATACATAACTTTCACTTATTTTTAAAATTACATTTTAGCTCATATCAAACAGAACTACAGTACTTTACATGTGTATCTTTTTTGAAGATTATTGTGTTTTAAATGCTTAGTTTACTTATATGGTTAGAGGAAATTTGTTTTTACTTTACTTTTTAGTCTATTTGAACCTTCGAATGCATGATTTTCAATACACTAAGATTTTATTGGTCAAAATCAGCTAAATAGATTTAAGAAACTTGTTTAACAATATGCTCTCAATGCCTGGACTTGAACTAATTATTGTAAATTACTACTTCCTCCGGTCTCTTCGCAGTAAAATGCTAGAAATTTAGTAAATGTCTTAGTAAATCATTCAGTTAAGTACCTTTAAGAAATGTATACTTCACAATTGCTTATTGATAAAATTGAAACACTTTTAACTTGCGTAAAACTTAAGAGCAATTCAACTGTAAAAGAACTGTTTACGACAGTTATATACATGATATAGATTTAAGACTTTCGCATGTTTTAAATGGAAATGTGTAGTTGAATTATTTTAGGCAATGGAGATTAATTATTTTACGATCTACAACTTGTCTCCAAGAGTTTATAATTTCAGGCAAAGGAATCTTCTATGTTGAACGTTCATTTCCCAACACTCGCTTTACACCTACTTAGCTTCAATTAACATAGTTCCAAAATAAACAACCTTGAATGTAAACTTGCGGAAATCATAGCCAGTTTCACACGGTTCGTTCCAAAATGCGTCACATAATCTGTCCGGTCAAGCAAGATATACGAGAGTTCTCAGCCAAAAGTCCCACACTGTCAAGCAACCTTAAATATGCATTTTACAGTTAATACAACGACATGGTCTTGTATGACCTACGCAACCAGAATTCCGAAGGAGGTTCCCCTCTAGTGCCATCTTTCTTTCAGCAGTCAATTAATTTGCGCGTCCGCCACTTCTGGCGCTCTGCCGATCCATTACGGCAGAATCACTAAAAATACTAAAGGAATGTGGCAGGGCTAATTAATGCTATCAATTCAACATTTCCCGATGAATTAAATTTTTGTATTTAAAGTTAAACTACTTTTTGTTTCTTACCTACAAAATATCTCACCCAGGAGATTTTCAAAGATCGCACGTAAGTACGAGTCACTCGCGAAACACACGATAAAAGGTACGCGTACCGACGTCGGGCTCTAGCGGCCAACTAACGCGTCGCGACGCCGCTCCCGCTCGGCCACAGTCGGCAACACTCGGACCACTTCGGCGCAGGCGTCGCGGGGTCGGAGGCGGGTTTCGGACTTTGGAGTTTGTTTATTACAGCTATCGCGTGTTTATAAACCGCGAATTGGTCGGGCTCGGATACAATCCGATTTACGATTGTTTAAAGTTAACTCTCCCGGGTCCGACCGCAGTAACATTCGCGAGAGTTAGCGATCTAACTAGCTTCCCAGCTGTGAATAAAACAATTAGTTTCCTAACATACTGTTGGTATGGGTAAACTCACTAACTAACAAATATATATGGTTGAGTAAAACGTCAATTTATTGTATCAATTTATGTGAATGTTATGTTTATGTCCAATTACTCACAGATATTATAAGGTGAATATAGCCGTGAGCTCTCAAACAGTCACATGACTGTTTTATTCAATTGATAAATTTAATGAAGGTACAGGTTACAGAAAAAACGGTGATTTTTAGTCATATATTTGCAAAGGATTTACAAAAGTAAAACATTATATACAACTGATTTAATGAGATTTGCATATTATGAAATATGATCCAAGGTTATAAAACCCCAAGTAAAGTATTAGGTGTACATTAAAATAATTTATGAATAACTTAAATGCAGATCATTCATTTATAGTAAAAAATTGATTCAGGTTATAAAACTTGAAAACAACTCTGAAAAAACTAATACTTCACCCAAAATCACGGTTTGGAACCAATGTCACGATTAATACGACAATGACGGAGAAATTTCATAACGCAAAACGACCAGTTCTGGATTGACCTGAAACTAAAACGCGATTATGACGTTAATCAAATATCGGGCTTCATTGTAATGATATCTACGAGCCGTCATTACAATGACATTAGAGAAGGTAAGCTTGTGCCGCAGCGCTGCAGCCCTACAATGACCGGATCACTGTCGTGCCCAATCAATGGAGGATTATGGTTCTGACTGTGACTGCTCCCAGCTGATAATTAGCTTCTGGAACAGCGCTTTCAACCATCAACTGCCAACCGTGGTTATCCTCACTTACAGCCCTGCGTCTCTTAACCGTATCACTTCTAGGGGATTTCTTTGGTGGTGAAAAGATTCTATACAGAAATTGGTGGAACTTACAGAACTGTGATTATGTTTATTTTTGTGACTCATTAAAACACAGTCTTTTAGGACAGAGTTCCGATACTTAACGAAAATAATAGACATAACTCCAATAAGCATTATCTTTTAAGATACGTTTAGCAAAAGCATCACAACAGTAACATTGACTTTAAATATTTAAAAAAATTAGTATGAAATGAAAATACCAGATTACTTACACAATCGACTTTGAATAGTTTAGACTTCTCATCTAATATTGAGTTCTGAAGCATTAACTATTTACGTTTTTGAAAGGTTTTGAACAGTCTGATAAAAAAAAACATAAAAAAAACTCCAAAGGCAACACACTAAATAAACAAATAGACAAATTCAAATTGCATATGTATGTTTTTTATTGGGCCAACAGGGGTCCCATCTAAAAGTAAATTTTCAAAGATGTGGTCATGATTTGTTACGCCACTATTGTAAAACATGTTTATTAAAATCCTAATGCTGGGATAAAACTAAGCTTAAGTCTGGGCCTATAAGCAGATTTCAGTAAACTATTTAAGGTCATGACTTAATCTTTTCTTGTAACATAATAATTCCGGTAATGTTTTTTGCTATATGAGTGTATACTCATATAAAAATAAAACATTTACATCGTTAAAATACCAATGCTATCCATCAAACGTATTTAGCACTACTATGCATTATGCAAATTTGTTGGGAGCGAGCTGGTCTAGTGGTACAGTGCGGGGCTTCGGTTCCTGAGGTCCCGGGTTTAAATCCCACCAATTACCAATGCATTTTATCTAAGTGATAATTCCACAACCCCTAGGCCTAGGGTGAAGTAATGTGAAAATCAATCCGGGCTAAGGGCATTCATACCGTTCAGGATAAATAAGCCCCTTAAAATTTTTAACGCCACCATTATTTCTTGATATGCCATCATGAAAATTAAATTAATATTCGGTGATATAATCAACAAACTTTTTTTAATTATAAAAGCTGAGTTGACTGTTACATACATGTGACAACAACTAACTTAGGCTACCGGAATGATGCTGTATAATGAAACTTGAGCTGGGGAAGGGAGTGTTAAGCTGGATATAGCATCGCAGCGGAGAAATTTGTAACGAGCAAGGATTAAAAAGGTGAGAGGTAGTAAGCGGGTTAGGTCTCGGTCCGGACCTCCCACTGAGCCGATTATGATAATAAAACAAAAGTGCGCCGACCTCATCAGCAAGTACAAGTGGCTGCTGTAGGTGTTAAGTGTTAACGTTTGTACTTGATCTCTTCCCAATGCGTTTCATACCTACGTGTAATAGAAAGTTACAATGTTTGCTATCCACAGACAAACTTCAAATTTAAAATTCCCATGTTACTTATGGGGAATAAATAAACTGTTGTAGTTTGCTTGTTTATGGATCTAATAAAATTTAGCAATTTTGTTTATTTCATACTGGGCTATCAGCATTTGGATAACAAACACACCTCATTACCTTCCCTGCAGCAGCAAATCTTAGTATTCATTGAAGTTAATGTTATTCAAATAGGAAATAGATCTGACAGTTTAAAGAGAATATTTTAGTAGGAATACTTAATACTTATACTTAATAATTTCTTATTAAATGGCGACCATACAACGTAGGCATTTTAAGCCAAGTATGAATGGAGATGAGTGTAGGATGAGTGGCGCGATCTTGTAGTCTTGTTAGTGACTAAGGCCGACATATTCCTTAGACACAGTTGTTAATTGATAGCCCATACAGCAAATGGCAACTAAGGGACCTACAGTTTATTGTGGAATCCGAACCACATTTTTGCCTTGGTATATACGAATTGGTCTAATTATCAGGATAAATCCACCCCGATAATGGAAATTCGTTTAGTCTGCAAGTTTTCTGTGTAGGGTATATTTTAGAATTAATATTTCCTATTCAATGCAACATTTAGTCACACTACAGTTGACGTACAAACAAAATTCGCGTGTCATATATTTGTTTTAATAATCTATATCTATATCTATAATCTATATCTTTTCAATACTTCGACACTTATAAGATTTCCAGTCTCCAAAAAGGACAGAAGGTGTATTTTAAAATCATTACATGGTAGACATAATCAATATGTTATCATAGATGTAGAAAAAGAAGAATGACAAGTTTCTCAGACAAGATATGTCTCAGTGTATGAGGGCTCGACCTCTAATGGCCATGTAATTATAAATTTTATTTGAAGAAATTAATAAATTGAAACTACGGGACCCAAGCTGCTCCACCGCATTTAAATAAATTTTATCCCGATAAATAACCAAATTTATGATTTTTTATTTAGCAATACAGTACGTCGTTACGTATAAGATTAGTGGGGTGGGACTGTATATAAATATATCCATATTCTTGATGTGAAATCTGTGCGTGCATACCTTCAATTTGAGACCTCAATCATGAAAATCGGTTGGGTAGAAGAGCCAAACGAACTCGGAAAAGAAAACCTAAATTTAACTCCCATAAGAAATACATGGGGAGCAAATATCGTTAACGTATAAGCCGAGTGGGACTGTAGATAAATATATGCCTATTCTTTATGTGAAATCTGTGCGTGCATACCTCCACTTTGAGACCTCAATAATGAAAATCGGTTGGTCAGAAGAGCCAAACGAACTCGAAAAAGAAAACTTAAATTTAACTTCCTTAAGAAATACATGGGGAGCCAATTTCGTTTACGTATAATCCGAGTGGGACTGTAGATAAATATACTGTATATGTCTATGTTTGATGTAAAATCTGTGCATACCTTCACTTAGAGACCTCAATCATGAAAATCGGCCCAGTAGAAAAGCCAAACGAACCAGGAAAAGAAAAACCAATTTTTTAAATATATAAGATTGAGAACAATTATTTTTGTTCGGTCCGTGTCCACAATTTATTATTTTCCTACAAGAGGTTTAGTTACCTTTTTCTGTCCAAGTAATCCGAAAGTCGTGTAAAGTCGTGTAAGTTGTGTATATGGTGGCCGATTTCGACGCTTATGACGTAAGTTTCAAGCAGGAAGACGTAAAATCTGTCACAGGAGGTCATCAGTTTTTAATTATCTACTTCCCATTACGTTCTTGTCCATCATAATTATTTTACGCGTTCGTCGTCAATATATTATTTATAAGCAGTTAAAAATTATTAAATTATGATTAGATTGTAGTATCTAAATACAAATCACTACTGTTAAATGTAAAATTTCACAACTTACAGTTTTCATTCAATTTTAATCCATGGCAAACTGCATGGACGGAACAATCAACTTTCGTTTAAAGAAGTACTACAACATTAAAGTGACTAGTAAGACAACAAAACTACAAGTAAATCGGTTGTAACATTGCTTCCCTACGCGCAGAGACAAGAATCCACAGGAACTAACTATGCAGTATACAGTTTTGATTGCGTCTTAGCAACAATGAATCATCAGCTGATAAGTTGAATCAACTTAACGAAATGAATACAGCTAAGTATTGTTTGGACCCAGACGAGTAGGATTACTATAACATTACTTTTCAATGTTTTAATTCTCAATAGATTTTTCGGGGCAGAGAAATGCTAAATATTGTATCAATATCCCTAACGCAGCAAACCTGCCGACTAAGCGAACTACCATTTTCCTTATTTGATTTTCGATTAAATCCATTTCAATAACATGACGTTTAAAGGAGTAAGTAGGTTTGCTGCTACAGGGAGGTTAATAAAGTTAGTTTTTCATAAAATATTAGCTTAGTATAAAATAAATAAATTTGCCAAGTTTGGTCAAAATATATCCATAAAAAGCAAACTACAACAGTTTACTTATCCCCCGTAAGAATAACATGGTAATTTTTAGTTTAATTTTTGGAATTTTT